GGAGAGAGAGAGAGAGAGAGAGAGAGAGAGAGAGAGAGAGAGAGAGCGGGGGAGCAACAGAGGTCAGTTTTAGGTTAGCCTAAATATAAAACAATTGAAGAGATATGTTGGTGGCTGAGCGTCCGTGTCAGGATCGAGTGACAAGCCTGTCATGACAACACTGTCTACAAAGCAATATTTTACGTACAGGAGCATAGCTAGATTTGATCATGTGGCAAAATGAGTACAAATGTATTCAAGTCTCACCCTGTGTTCCTGCAGGCGCAGACATTTTTTCTAGTACTTTCTTTGCACTCCTCTGCAGAATAAGTCATGTCAGCATGTAATGACTGAGAGAGAGGGTTATCTATTAACAAGATACTGTTAAAACAACCTTGTGTTTTCCCTGAAGAACAATCCAGTTACCTTTTACCCAATTGCCACACCTATGCCAGCTTAAGAAAGCCAATGAGCAAAGTACAATGTGTGAAGTAAGTTACACACAAACAATCTCTTGAAGAATTGTCGGTGAAAGGTGTTTGTGTGAACAAAGCTTTTAAAAAAAGAAAAACAAGAGAACCATTTAATCCTCTTCATCGCTAACATACCAGAGTACAGTATTACCCAATCTTTGTACAATCAGGTCTTTCTTGTATTGATAGTCACTGCAGACTATCATGAGATGTGGGATCTCATTGCCTTAACAAACAAAGATGGCTGCATGTTCTACAATGAGCTTCTCATTCTACTGGACAAACCTATTCATGCAACCTTCACCCCACAGGCTCACTGCACACTGTTCACAGCTGAGCAACGCTCAAGCCAACTGTACTCTAAATCACAGTCACTATTTAAAAGCTTTCAATATGTCAACCTGAACTGCATGAGAAAATATTCAAAGTTGGCATGTGAATAATGTAGAGCTAGGCTGCAATAGTTATTTTAATGACTATTATTTAACTCTTAAATAAGGTTTGTAATATACATATTTTCCACAAAAGCGCCAAAAATAGGGACTGATTTGTCTGTTGTAGTTGTAATCATTTCTTGATGTTGAGATAATTTAGGGTTTATATTTGTTTCCACAAAGTTTATATAATGCATATGTTGTTGTCAACTGCTCCCAGAGACCATTTAGTTATATGTTGTATTCAATTGAATTATCTTTTCCAAATGTCTTTGTCAGTACTAGACACAAGTATTTTTTTTAATGTTACAGTGCAGCCATGAAAAGATGGCACCTCTAATTTAAATAGTTCAATCAATATAAGACTGATACAACTTTCAAACAAGGACTAGGCTATTACTGGAGGGGTTTTTGTAAACTCCACTTGAAGGAGTTTAGAAACAGCGAAGAGAATCAAGCAAAACAAGAGGAAGAGAGAAAGCCATGAGACAAGAGAGCAAACAGTGTGAGCTGAAAGGCCGTGTAGTCATGGGCAACTGATATTGGCTTCAGGACAGCAGGGCTTCAAGCCAGATCCTCAAATGAGTGCCGACCTAACACCCCTTTCACCTCACACACTGTCCTTGCTCCGGGACCTTCCCTCATTCCTCCCCTTGCATATCCTTTTACAGTTACTTGTTCCCGACTGCTGCTGCTAACTCTACCCGTTTAGTGTGCCTCAGGCTCGGCTGATGCTTTACACTCAGGAGTTGAGAAGACGAGCAGTACCTGTGGTTTGATAGTGTTCATAAAACACAAACATCCCTGTGTGTGAACTATTTACCTGAGACATTCAGCAAACTGTTTTCTCAGCTAAGTAACCTACATGGCCATAATCATCAGTCAAATGTATGTGGGAATGTAATTTACTTAGACTAAATAGTGCTCAATTTTCCTGAGTCTTGGAAGACATCTTCAAAATGTGAGTTTTGTTCAGATCAACCGCTAATAAACCAGAATAAATCATAAGATAATCACCATTTACAATCAAATCACATTGACAATCAAGTCTGTCAATGGACTGTTGGATTATCAACCTTGTTTCAGCTCTAAATACAATTTAAATTATAAAATCAATGACTGTGGTGTAGCTGTATGTGACTGAATTAAATCATGTGTTGTGTGTACCTCCTGGTATTTATACGTTGTTGCAACATTAGGCAATATAATATGCTGTAGTTTATCATATGTCATATATTCATTGTACTTTTTGTTTCTTTGGTTTATATTTATGTTTGGAGTAAATAATTGTTTTTATTCTTTTTTGTTATGTTCAATTGTTTTAAAAGAATATGTTATGTAGTAATAATCGTTATATTTTTTACATTAACTTTTCATATCTATATATGTTGTTTGTTTGCACCTCCATACACCAAAGCAAATTCCTTGTATGTAGACGTACCTGCCAATAAACCACATTCTCATTATGGCATTTCATTGGCATGTAATGTTTCAAAATACATTTTAATATATTGTAAAAACTGCATAACAATAAAGAGGGTATATTTACAATTACTAGCGGTAAATAATCAGATATTAATTCATAAAATAATCTCCATGTTTGTCTTTCTGTCTATGTAGTGCACTCACAGGTCCAAACTTGTCCACTAACATAACATAAAGACACCCTGGGCAGCCAGCTAGCTGTCAGTAGATTAAAACTAACGTTACATTTCTTACCTTAAACATTAGACACAATCACGAATATGTCTGATACATTTATATCCTTCACTTGGTGCGTTGTTTCGAGTTTCTAGCAGGTTTTTCGAAAGCTTTTTCCAAGTTAGCGAACGCGTTAGCAAGTTAGGCAACGTTAGCTAGCTGTTAGCTCACTGTAACAACGTTAATGTTATCTCGTCGACACAGCTGTGGAAAGTGTCTTTCTAAAAATGTCTCCTGGTGTAACGACACGTTTCTCATAACCCTCAGGTCTGCAGTGACTTTAAGTGAGTGGCTGTCTTATTTATGCCCTTACTACTGCTGTCAACGACCCGAGGAGGTTAACGTTAGCCAGAGTGAGGTTGGATAAGGAGGAGCGCGGTGGCATTCTGGGAAATGAAGTCCCAACGAGGAGGGGCATGTTTGGATAGGTCGGTAGAGGGGCGTGAGCAGAAGACACACTTGGCAACAAGCTTGTTTACTATAGCCTTGTTTTTTTTCTTGTCCGTGAAGTACTTTATTGATGCTCAGTAACAGGCAGAGTTGTAGTAACAGTTGCAACAGCTCCTATGTATGTATCAATACGGTGTCTTAAATAAAAGTCACAAAAATGAACAATAGTGAGTCACTATAACAGTAAAACTGAGAAAATCAATACTAAATGTTCAGTACAGTTGCCAATGGTAGATCTTACTATCAGAGATTTTAATTTAAATTGTAATAATGGATAAACAAATGAAACACATACAAAGGAAATGTTTAGATCTAGTAAAAGTATAATTCATTCAATACATTTAAATGTGGCTGCAAAGAGACTGCACAAACCAGTGCAGGTAAAATGTTTGCATAGCAGCAAATACATTTATTAAGATAAACCCATGGCACAAAAAGTAAGAAAATTAACATCTACATATTATCAACAAAAGTGTGGTACAGATATAAAATTGGGCAACAGAGGATTTGTGAGCAAACAAAACATGATTACCTGGACTACAATGACCTCTCAGGCGTTGTGTCGGACAGGTGGCCTGCTTACAAATATTTGTTCTACATCCTCTCCTTTTAACAACTTTGTCAAACTGGGTAGATGCACCATCTTAAACTCTTGGCTATTCCAACATAACATTTTTTCTTGCCTGAAAAGAAGCTTTAGGCTCACTGTAAGGATGTACATTAATGCCCTTCTTTACTTTCACTGGGTAAGGCTGCCATGTTTGCCGGTCCAGAGCTCTCGGAGCTCCACGTGACATCCAAGATCTCTGAGGGCTGCTTTACCCACGTCTCCACAGTCTTGATGGGTCTTGAGGTACTGGTTTATCAGGTCCTCTGCGCCCAGATCCAGGATTGGTTGGCTTAGGTTACTCAAACGGCCAACCAAGTTTCTCATCAGCATACATGCCTGTTTCTGATTTAAAAAAAGAAAACATGGACAGATTGTTGGCAAACATAAAAAGGCCTGATTTGTATTAGGTACAAATATGAATGAAAATGAATGACCTTGGAATATGGATATAATACCTGGACATTGATCGAATTGGTATGTGTCCTCATAGCCTGCACAGCAGCCAAGGCACCTCCATTTTCCATGATGACTATACAGTTTTCCGGTTTACGCAGAGCAAGCACCGAGAGACATGCACAGCCTTGCTCACACACCTACAGTAGAACATGAACATAATCTTAGGACATTTTCCAGAATTAAATTATTATTCAATTACATTTTTATCCAGCAAAAAACAACCAATTATAATATTTGTAAGCATCAATCTGTGTTAAATGCTACAGGTATGACATTTTACTCACAGCGGAGTTGTTCATGTGTCGGTTCATGGCAATGACAATGAGCTGGACTCCACCGGCATTAACAACTGTGTCTTTCACGTCGTCATTTCCTGCTATGGCCCGTATTGCACTAAAGACCTGCCGAATCAACTCCTGCAATGATAAACCAGTTCAGTGAGCATAACATACACAGTGAACATATATTCCTGACAGTCTGTAAAACAGCGCCATGTTTTAAACAGGTTACCGCTTTCTCATAGCCTTCCGCAAGCAGCGTCATGATGAGTTTCAATCCCCCCAGGTCACAGATGTCCTGACAGAACTCATTCCTCACAGCCAGATGGGACAACGTTGCACACAGCTCACTCAGAACAGAAGTATTATCAAGGTGAGCTGTGAGGGAAAAACAAAGGATATCATCAGAATTAGTTTTGTTGTTTTAAACTAAAGTGGTTAAAGATATCATGCTAAACACCTGAAACAACTATTCATCAGCGGGCCTTACCTTTCGCAGCCCCAATTAAAACCTTCAGTCCACTATTCTCGAGAACAATCATCTTTGCGTGTTCATGAGCTTGCCCAAAGGCAACTCGGACATCATCGTCAAAGGTCATGACCTTGAGAGCTGCAGTGGCCTCCTTGACGATCTGAGCACTTTCACCGTGTTGTTTGATGGCACCGGTCAGCAGAGGCAGGATGCCAGCTTTGACCAAATCCTGCCTGTTCTGTTCATGTTTCAAACAGCATTGACGGACGGTGGTTAAGGCTACACGTGTCACAGAGGACTCTGCCTTGTACTTCTTGAGGATATTCAAAAGGAATTGCTGGCCCTCTGCATTCAACAAGTCTGGCTGTCCATTTGTCAGTGCAGCCAGGGCGGAGAGAGCGGTAAACACAGCTTCCGGCTCCTCCACACCCTTTTTGCAGTAAGAGAGGATGACTGGGTAGGCGTCTTTTTGAGCAGCCAGGTACCTCTGGGCAAGTTCAAGTGAACAAAGCTCGGTAAAGCGTTTTAAATCTGCCTTCACATCCTGCACACTGGCTGAATCTTTTACAATGCAGAGGGAATTCAAAACCTGAAAGTAGAAAACAGATGTGAGATTGTGAAACTTTTGCACTCAGTAATCCCTTTTTCTCAAATTAGGATTACCTTTAAGACTTCATGTGTTGGCTCTTGTTTGCCATCAGATGATACCGGTGGTACAACTTGTATTATACAATTGAGGTTCACACCTGCATCGACACAGAAAACAGGTATGTATGAATACTTTAAACTATTTTGTGGGCTGATGGTAAAACTTGTTATCAACTTTCCAATACGGAACTTTAAAACATTGTTAGTCACTGTCCAGCTTTATCTTGTGTGTGGGTTGATGGAACAACGTTTAAGTAAAGTCAGTTACTAAATGAATGGACAGGAAAGATACTCTATAATACTTATTTTCTTATACCAAGAGATTTGTAATTGATCAGAGTCTTCGTGAATCAGCTATTGCCATTTTAGAACATTTAGAATAGCATGGGTCACAACAGCACACTATCCCTTTCGATCAATTTGTTGGCTTACATATAGAAGTGTAAATGCAAGTATTTAATTTGAATGTGTTTCCCTACATGTATATCTCCTTTCCCTGGTGTATGCTAGGTATTTAGCTGGGTTTTTGTACAATTTGTAAATGTATACTGTAATGTGTGTGTGCTTCTCTTGTTTGATATACTGTAATCAGGGCACTATTTGTAAAACAAAGCTTGATCTTTATGGCCTTTGCTGATGAAAAAAAAGGTTATAAATAGTTGATATGTTTCACCTAAAGTTTACCTATATGATAGGTTTGGCTTCATTAAGGTAATAATATACAGTCTGACTATCAACAAAACTGTTCACTCCTTAAATACCAGCCATCGTCCTTTGTAGCTCTGTTACCTTGAGACTCAAACTGCTTCACAGCATCCTTCAGAGCCTCATCAGGATCCATCTCAAACTCCTCCATGTTTTCCCTGACAGCAGCATCGAAGGTTTCCTGGGTGATCATCCGCTTAGCCATTTTCTCCATCTGGTCTCTACTCTGAAATGTCATAAAGATTATGTCAAACAATGAGAATATCAAACTCGTTGATTCAGTTTCAGCTAGTAATAGCTAGTGTTAGCTAGACGATGTGTTGTCTGCGCTCTTGTTTTCTACTGTGGCTGTTTCATTTCACAAAGCTAGCGATACATAAAGCTCTTCTAACGTTTGTTTATCACACTTGAGAAAAATATCTTCCTAAAAAACACAAGTCACATCACTTAACTGTTACCAACGCCCAGTGACAGACAGGCTGCTCTACTGTTATCAATGAAGCACAGACTGCCGCTTTCGATTTACGCTGTTTGCGTAATGGTTGTGCTAAATCCTTACAGCTCCTAATAACGCAGGGCGTACATTTGCGGCAAACGGTTGGTGAATAGTAAATTCCTCAAAAAGGTCCCACTCGTAAATATTCTCGGTTGGAACATAGACCACAAACATTATGTTCCGTTTCTCCTCGAAACGACTATTTCTGAGCCTTAATTTTGACCCAGTGGCTTGTGAAAATAGAAGCATGTAAGGTAAGTAATGTTAGTCAGTATATTTAAAAAGAGGAAGATAGAGGAATTACGTGGTTATTATTTCTTATATGGGACACCAACGCACATCTAAAAGGATATAATGATAGTGATGACATTTTGCAACTTGGATGTTATTGTTTGCATGAGACCACAAGGAAGTAATTTGAGGGTTATTTAAAGGACTTTAAATACAGCATTGTTTACATCCATGTTTACTGGCTTGCCGTTTTCTCATGACCTGCAGTGAAACCTGTGGTGAGACTTTGTAGCACATTGGTGCACCTGCATGCAAGAGTTAAACAATAATGTACTTTAAACATATTTTGACACTGAAATGCATTAAAAATATTTTGATATTTTTTGGACATTGCAAATTGGTTGACTTTCTGCCAGACGTTTATATTTTTTCCTTTTCACTCTCGCTGTCCTATGTTTAAATTAAGGCATTTTGAGTGGCCTCAAGAAACAATTAATATGAGATGAATTCTTACCTGTTTGCACAAGCTGAATGTTTTATGTTGGCATTCACATTTGTATATTTTTCATGCAAAGATTTTGGAATACTTTTATTTTGTCATTTCCTCTTCTACTCATGTCTTCCAGGAGATGGCGGTATAAATCCTTTAATGTTGCTTTTCATTATACCAGATGTAGTCTTTTGCTGATTACCATTTGATATCAACTAAGTGGAAGGACTGTCGTTTTAATTACGCCTATGGACGTTGGGTTTGTAGTTCTCAGAAATATACAACTCTGATGATTTATAATATATATATATATTTCATTTCATATCCAATTTTTTGCAGTACATACTATTAAACATAATGTGTAACATAGTACTACAACCAAAATGTGTCACTACAAATGCTCCCAAATGATTAATGTGGACATTGTTGCCCCAAAAAAGGGAGATGACCTCCAAGGAGCCACTGAGTAAACTGTGAAGGACATGACCTTTGTATGAAATGAGTCAATTGCAAAGGCCATCAACACCGTGAGGATCAGATTGCCAATACAGAAAAAGGTCACCAAAAGGACTGTTTCAGGGCATTACTGATCATATGCTTTAAAAATGGGAGTTACAGTTGCTGTCATTTGAGTGAAATAATAAACAAAAACACATCAAGTTTGGTTTAAAAATTAGATTGTGTGTTGTATACCTCAATATCCTCATGTAAACCAGTGTGATGTTTGAACACAAGAGATAACCAATTAGGCCAAAGTACAATATTACAGTTCAGACAGGGTGATACACTTGCCTGTCTATTAAAGAAAAAGCAAACAAAGATGTTTGCTCATACATCTAAAAGACAAAAAGGTCCAAGTTGTATTTTATTGAATTATGTAGTGATTTCAACGTTGAATATTAATTATGCTGGTTTTCTAAATATTTGTAGTCTGTGTATTTCAGACTATTAACAACATAGGCCTATATGAAAATACCCAAATATGTAGGATTAATATGTATTTTATTGTACGATACTCACCATTATGATACCTGATTTTGGCATTGGAATTGTTATAATATAAAAGTAAACTCATGTCAGAATATTGATTTTGAAGTTTTGTTTTTCTTCATTCATTAATATAATAATATTGTGAAATGTAAGACATGATCGTAGTGAACATGATGTAATGCAGCCCATCGGTAGGGCTATGAGATTTCCTCCGAGATATAATCACACGAATAAATGGATTCACATACAGCCACATCAAGTTTTAATATTTCTCCTCTCATCTGTTGTTTACTCTTGCCCTCTGCTGCCTGTAAATTATCTTCACCAGAAGAGAGGGGTTAGTGAGAAGTGAAAAGTTGTTGGACGCTCTAGTTGTCTTCTTGGACGCAGCTGAGAGGAGCCGCTTCCTGCCAAATAGTGCGCCCGTCTAATCGTGACTGCAGCAGCCACTTCCTGCATTGTTACAGTATTTAATGAGGATTAAATTGAGGCTGTCATGCTGTCATGTCGTAACGGGCGGCCATTAGGCCTCCTCCACACGGAGAGAGGCTGATCTTCCCCTCTTTGACTTCAGAGCTGATCCTTCACCTGGGCAGGGCCTGCTGACTGACATTTTACTGTCCAATTGTACATTGCTCTTTATAAATATAAAGTATAGGATTATCAATGTTAAATTCCATTCCTAAGAGCATATCAATTCATTCAAGAACACTTGTGTGTATAGCATTTTTTTATCTTCACATCATCATGTAGCCTTACAGTTATAAACAATGAGTAAACTAACATTTTACACTTCTTAAAGGAAATGGACGAAGGAACAGGACCACCTTAGTATGTAATCCAATGCAAAATCACAAAATTCAGCCTCAGAAAAAACGATTATGGCCTGACCTTTGTTATAAGCCTAAAAGGACTGGATATTATTGGCTGAGTGTTTCATTGTATTATTTTCGAGGCGTATCTTTATATTGCTTTATTTTGTATTTACCTTTCATTAACTAATGTTTGTGAGGCCATAGCCAGGATTTAAGAAATACTGAGGTTGTAAAACCCAGTTCCCTCTGTTTCAATCCCAACTCCGAGTGTAAAAACCTAGACACTAAAAAAGGCCGCTATGAAAATATGTTCATAATTATTTTGCTTTTTAAAAATGTATTGTGTTGGGGAAATAGTTACTGCTGCCAAGGCACAC